AAGTAGCGATAATATACATATTTCTCTTATTACAAAGTACAAGTTATGTTTTATAAAGAGGTATAGTATAGTAAATCATGTTTTTAACACAGGAAACTCTCATATGGTAACTAAAACAATGCTAGTTCAGAGTATTACTAGTACTACAGCACTGTAATGCATATACTATATATTGCACAATAAAAAAATATTATGGCTGTTAGAATAACAAGGACTCTTCATTTCCATTTCAATGAGCAAGTGGTTGAAAACGACAGAACCATACGTTTATTGATTTTCAGGAAATTGAGGATCGTCACCATCTATTTAAAAATATATTCACAGAGATTACCAGCGAAATTAATAAAGCGTTTTCCTATTATGAAATATTGATAAAACGAGAACAAAATAGGCCACTTTAATAAATTTAGAAATTCAGAAATTTACACAATACAGTGAGAGTTTTCTAAATCTAAAACAGATTTAGCAGCAAATTACTAAGCCTACTGTATATAGGCCTATATATATATATACATATACATATATATATATATATATAATAATAATAATAGGGCATAATAATAATAATAATAATAATAATAATAATAATAATAATAATTTCATAATCACGAGCGTTGCCTACAAAATGCGTAGTCTCAACCATAAAGCAATTACAACAATACTCTAAATAAAAGCACTTTAAGAAAGAAATTTCGGCATAAATGAAAAAATAGACAGGAAATGTTCAGGGAAACAGCTATTTTATAACAAAAGTACTGTACCTCAACTGCAGCAAATCCAATCCCATTTGCCAACGACACTTCACCAATTCCAAACCATGTTCCAGCCAATTGCGATGACATTCCAAAGCAACATGGTTGACCCATCGCGCATAAAATCTGACCAATAAAATTTAGTGTTATCGAAATTTTTAACGTCCCAATATAACGAATCCATGACCCAACGCTCTGTAATAAAGCACCAAGTATAAGAACAAACTTTAAATTCGTCTTTTCTGTTAGCCACATCACAGGCAGTATCGCAAGTACATATGTAATTAAATTTACAATACTAAGCATGTCCACGGTATCCTTCGAAATATCATAGTACTTTTCCACTGCGGTAAATATCGAAGCATATTGCGCCCATAAGAAATAGTTTGACATCGCAAAAACAGCGAATATCGCCAGCATTAGCCATCGTCTTTTATACAAGGCATAACATTCAGGTTTAATGAGAGACAACTGTTCTCCAGTGCTCTGCCCGACGTCAGCCATGTTGCACAGATTGAGGACATTCGTTTTATGAGAAATCGGTAGGCCGTAACATCTGCCACCATCAGACAATATGCATTGTGAGCTTAAAATAGCCTAATAATACGGTTCGGTGTAGAGGTATTTATTTTCTCTCGTTTGTGGCCGCGCTTCACTGTTTGATAGGTCCTATTGAGGGAGCGTAGACCTATAAATGGCGGACCAATCCTATATTTCATTTATTTAATTTTAAAAAGGACCTATTTACACAGCATCCAACGTAATAAGCGATATCATGTTTTGCTATATCAAATCAAATCAAATTTTGCTTTTGAACATAAGACAATTAACAGAAAATTCACTAATGGTAAACAATATTTGGAAATAAAAAAATACAAGAAAACGACTTAAGTAAGCCTAAAAAAATGAGGGAATGCAACAAAAGGATGGGGGAATCAAATAAGCCTCAATTGGTTTTCTGATTGATTACCCATAAGCAAAATATGTAATAATGATATAATATACGATATTAGTAATAATAAAAATAATAATCATAATAATTAATAATAATAATAACAATAATTAATAATAATAAAATTAATAATAATGACAATACTTTAATAATAATAATAATAAAATGAATAATAATGACAATACTTTAATAACAATAGTAATAATAATAATAATAATAATAATAATAATAATAATAATAATAATAATAATAATAATTTCATAATCACGAGCGTTGCCTACAAAGTGCCCATAGAAATACAAATTTCGTACCTCAGCCCAAACCATATTAGGGCTGATGTGGTTTCTATTTCGAATTCCAGGATCGGCCACTGTTTAATGTTGTACTTTTGTGGCGAATCATCTTCTATTTACAATCTTATTGCTGGAATATCGACAATGAATATACTTAGACATGGGGGTCCTTGAAGACTTTTGACACCTCCCGATTACTAGGTCCCATCGCGTTTGAATTAAATCCTTGTATGTGCCTTGTATTTGAATCAATGTAAAAATAAAACAAGTGATTTATTTGATGTTTGAAAAATATTGTTTGTATTCGTGCTTTCAATCTTTATTGTAATGGTCTAGATAATGCCTTAACGTACTGTACCACGTCAAATAATTAAAGTAATTAAACAAAATGTTAATGCAACGCTACTATAAAAAGGCTAATGTTTGTGCAATTCAAGACTCTGTTTCAATGAGTGTCTTGCTCGTGTCAGTGAGTATCGAGTGTCAAGTTTACATTCGGTTGTACACTTTGTAGGCCTAAATACATGCATTCCAGCATGTTTATACAAAATCGGCATTAATATTCGAATTTTACAGAGGTTTATACAGTATGAATGCTACTTTTAGGTAGAGGGCGCACGTGATTCGCCAACGGATCTCAAATGCATGAGCATCTTCTTGAGTAAGTGTATACTTGAAAGCAACGATATAAAATACAGTTATATTCATATTTTATTTATTCACTGAACCATATTTCTAGAAGATAATATACTGTCAAAATATAATGATAATTATTATACTACTATATTAAACATAAACGTTATTCTATTTTATCCGGTACACAAAGTTTCGTAAAGAATTAAGGTTTATGAGAATCAATTAGCAGCATGAAATCAGTGGCAGCTTCTCGGCGTGTTCTTGCTCTCATACGGACATATCACCAATATATTCAAAATATAATTGCTGTATTCAATACACATACACATGCAAAGATAAAAATATTGTTCATTATTGTTTCTCTATTAACTGGATTTTAAGTGATTCATATAGGCCTGGTAGGTATATTGAATGTGCAATGTTATGGTTTGTACGATACTTATTCGCATTAATTTGTGTATCTAAATATATATATATAAATATATATATATA